TAAATTCTATAGAAATAAAACTTCAGGCTGGGCATGATGGCTCACGCCTGTAATCCTAGGACTTTGGGAGGCTGAGACGGGTGGATCACCTCAGGTCAGGAGTTCCAGACCAGCCTGACCAACATGGTGAAACCCCACCTCTACTAAATACAAAAAAATTAGCCAGGTGTGGTAGCATACAATCCCAGCTACTTGGGAGGCTGACGCAGGATAATGACCTGAACCCAGGAGGCAGAGATTGCAGTGAGCCGAGATTGTACCATTGCACTCCAGCCTGGGCAACAAGAGCAAAAGTCTGTCTCAAAAGCAAACAAAACAAAACCAAAACCTCAGATAAGTCTCCTTCTTAGAGTGTTGTAATGAATGGGAGTTTGTAACTTTTATGTGTCATGTTGTGAATAGCTGTGGTTGGGGTGGTCACTGGCAGGCGGTCATTACCATATCTCAGAATGGCACGTTATTTCCATTTCACAAATGAGCACACTGAGGCGTAGAGAGTTAGATAACTTGCCCAGGTTACACAGATTGTAAGTTGATGCTGGGATTTGAATCTTCACGTGTATACTTATAAATACAATGTAAGGAAAACTCTGGTGAGTCCATCTCTTATAATAACTAACATTTGAGTAATTACTGTAGAGTGCCACGTACTGTTTTAGATGCTTTACGTAGACTATTTTGTTTGAATATCCTCATTTTAGAGAATAAACTGTCTGGGCACAGTAGCTCATGCCTATAATCTCAGCACTTTGGGAAGCTGAGACTGGTGGATTGCTTGAGTCCCAGGAGTTCGAGATCAGCCTGGTTAACAAGGTGAAACCGTGTCTTTATTAAAAATACAAAAAATTAGCTGGGCAGGGTGGTGTGTCCCTGTAGTGCCAGCTACTTGAGGCGTTGAGGTGGGAGAATCATCTGAGCCCAGGAAGTTGAGGCTGTAGTGAGCTGTAATTGTACCACTGTGCTCCAGCCTAGGCAATCAGAGTGAGACCGTCTCAAACAAAAGAAAAAAACCTGAGGCTGTCAATAATTTGCTCTCATTCATGCAGCTTTCAGTGACTGGACCAGGCTTTAAATTTACTCCAAAACTTCTATGTGGGATGGCACCCTGCCCTGCCTCCGCATCATGGCCCAGCTACATGGGATTCCTCTGGAGGGAAATGTGGAGCAGAGATTCCCTGGAGAGGGGGCTGAAGTATACAGAACGCTGGTACTGTCAGGTGCGGGGACTCGTGCCTGGAATCCTAGGATTGCTTCAGTGAGCTGTAGTTGTGTCACTGCACTCCAGCCTGGGTGAGCGAGCGAGATCATGTCTCAAAACCCCAAAATCAGAAAACCAAAACAAAAACACCAGTAGTGTTGAGGGAAAGTGAAAAGGAAGTGATCGACCAGCTAAACAGCCCAAGCTAAGTATGGCATCCACTACAGAGGATGTGGCCAGTAAATCTTTGCTAAGAGACTTAAATCCTGTTAATTGGGGAGCTACGTGTGTGGGCAGGCAGTTCACAGCCCCTATCAGTGGACATCATTTCCCTGGGCCCTAGCATCTGCCATTTGTTTTTTCGACTAGATATGAATGATCAAATTTATTTATTTTTTTGAGATGGAGTTTTGCTCTTGTTGCCCAAGCTGTTGTGCAGTGGCCCGATCTCGGCTCACTACAACCTCCGCCTCCCAGGGGTTCAAGAGATTTTCCTGCCTCAGTTTCCTCAGTAGCTGAGACTACAGGCATGCAGCACCATGCGACTAATTTTTGTATTTTTTGTAGAGATGGGGGTTTCACCACATTGCCCAGCCTCGTCTCAAACTTTTGGGGTCAAGCGATCTGTCTGCTTCAGCCTACTAAAGTACTGGGATTACAGGTGTGAGCCACCTCGCCTGGCCAGTGACTAGATCCGAGGTGCCACAGTTTCATACCGTGGTATTAAGGAAGGAAAATGATGAAAGCAAATTTACTGAAAATAATGAAGGTTCACTTGTTAACTCACATCCACCAGTTCATTTTTCAGTTCTTTAATGGGAAAATCTGAATAGTTTTCATGATCATAAACACTCAATGTAAATGTCAGAAATACAACTTTTAATTCTTTAGTGACATTTGATCAGGGCCCCCAGTGTGATTCCTCCCAAGTTTTGCTTTTGAAATGGTTACATCTTTTTTTTTTTTGAGACAGAGTCTTGCTCTGTTGCCAGGCTGGAGTGCAGTGGTGTGATCTTGGTTTACTGCAGCCTCCACCTCTCCAGTTCAAGCAATTCTCCTGCCTCAGTTTCCTCAGTAGCTGGGATTACAGGTATGCACCACCACACCCAGCTAATTTTTGTATTTTTTGTAGAGATGGGGTTTCACCACTTTGTCCAGGCTACTCTTGAACTCTTGGCCTCAACTGATCCACCTGCGCCATCCTTCCAAAGTGCTGGGATTACAGATGTGAGCCACCGCGCCGTCGAAATGGTTACATTTTGTCAAATGGGCAAATGGGAAGAAGGTAGGTCAGGACAGAAGCCCATGCATTTTAGGCTGCTTTGAGGCAAAATGCTTTCTTTTTTCTAGGTCCATATGTATGGACTGCTAACAATGCTAAATTGAAGTTAAATGGACTCTTGTTCATTAAAAAAAATATTTTGCTATATCCTCTCCCTATTAATTTGCTTAACCTTTTTTTTTTTTTGAGGGGGGTGAGGGACAGGGTATTTTGCTGTTGCTGGAATGCAGTGGCTAGATTTCGGCTCACTGCAGCCTCCCAGGCTCAAGCCATCTTCCCATCTCAGCCTCCTGGGTAGCTGGGACTACAGGCGTGCACCACCACGCCTGGCTTATTTTTGTATTTTTAGTAAGATGGAGTTTTGCCATGTTAGCCAGGCAGCTCTTGAATGTCTGGCCTTGTGATCCTCCTGCCTTGTCCTCCCAAAGTGCTGTGATTACAGGTATGAGCCACCATGCCCAGCGTGCTTAAACTTTTTAGTTAAAAAAAAAGATACAAATGAATAGTCTTAAAACAATACGCTTTAAGGGGTGATTTTCATAGTATGCCAATTACATCTCAAAAAAGAGAAGAAAAAAAAAGTAATTCCTCCCCAGAAATGATGCAAGAGAAGATTCACCTAAATCTATTCACAGCTGTCTGCAGAGTGCCTACTGTGTGTTGAGCCTGGGGATACAGGACACCGGCACGTTTGAGAGGGGATTATAGGCCGGGTTTCCACACCCTTTGGTCCAGACAAACGTAGTTGAGCCACCTGGCTCAAGGATTTGGCAGCTGCGCGATGACTGAACAGAGCCTACGTTCGAACCCATGGCTGCATGACTTACGATCCCCCGATGGGAACTGCCGTGGTTCATTGCCCCAGCTAGTACTGAATGAAAACAGAGGGGGTGGCCCCCGAGCACCCGCCGTTCATGTGTCCCTGACCAGGCCCGCGACATCCTCCTGTCCGCGCACACTGCGCGCAGCGCCGCCCAGCGGGAAGCCCAGCTCGGTGCCAGCGCCCGCGAAGCGGAGGCGGCCGGCGCCTGAGGCGGGACAAGGTTCCTTCCCGCGCAGGGAGGACCAGAGGCAAGGCCAGCGCGCGCCAGCCGGCCTGCGTCCCGGGCACAGACGCGACAGACTGGCACCGAGCGGGGGCTGCGCGCGGCTCCGGGGCCTGCGGCAGTGGGGAGCGCAGAGTCCACCTGGTGGCTAAGGGCTAGGGCGACCGCTGAAGCTCCTGGGGGCCTTCGGGGTCCGGGCTGCGCCTGTGCCCACCGGACGGCTGGTTGCAGCCCGCACTGCCTTCAGCTCCGGGCCGGCCACGCAGGGAGACTACTGGGTGGCGGTAGCTGGGCGGGGCCGGGTCGGGGGCGGCTGTGGGCTGCGGGCAGGCAGCGCGCGGGGCAGCCCTCGGCGGACAGCCATGGCGGCGGCGCTCTGGGCGTGGGGGGCTACGCGGCGCGTGTTGTCGGCGCTCCGAGACCGGAGCCCGGGGCTTGCGGCCATGGTGAGTGTCGAGCGGCCGCGGGGGCGGGGACTGGGGGGCAGCGCAAGGCCCTGCGGTGTCGGCTGAGGGGCCAGCGGGACTGGGGCGGCAGCTGCGTGGGCCGGGCCTTGGGGATCGGGGGTTGGGTCACTGCGTCCCGAGAGCGAGCACCTGCCCGGCGCGCCGCTCAGAGACCGAAGTGTCCGCAGCCTCCGCCACTGGCCTGTTGGCTTAATACTTCGGCTGAAGCCTGCGAACTTACCAACCGGAAACAAACGGGAACGAGTTTTGTTCAGCCACAAAAGGCAGACGTGAAAAGTAGTTGC